GGGAGGAGTAGGAGTGTGGGGTGAGGGTAGGAATATGGGGGGAAGGGGTAGGGATGTGGAAGGGGGAGGAGTATGGGAGGAGTAGGAGTGTAGGGTGGGTTGTTAGGAGTGTGGGACGGGTGTCGGAGTATGGGTTGGGGTGGGATAGGAATGTGATGAGCGGGAACGGATGTGGAGGGTTGGGAGTGCAAGTGGAGTGGGGGTATGGGTTAGGGTTAAGAGTGTGGGGTGGTGGGTAGGGTTTGGGGTGTGGGATGTTGGATAGGGTAGTGGGGGGGGGGGGGGAGGGTGGGGCTGTGGGGGTTAAGGGCTGGGGGACGCACAGCTGGAAAAGTAGCAGAGAGAATAGTTCAATAGGGAAGGGAACAGAGTAACTGTGAGAAACGATACTGTCAACAGTTCAGGTTGAGGGAACACCAAAACAATGTCATAAAAACAGAAAGTTCTGGAAAACCACAGCTGCTCTGGCAGCATCTGTGAAGAGAGAAACACAATTCACGTTACAACTGAATAGTTCCTCCTTGCAAATTCAGTTCTGAGGCAGTAGTACTGAACTGAATTTCTCCAGCAATTTCTGTTAAGGGCAAAATCACTTCAATGATAAAACAGGACGTAAGATCGGCACTTTATAGGCAAAATTGAAATAGAGAGAAGTGTTTAAGACTGGAGCAGAGGTTGTGTTTCAGCTTGCAGTAACAGCTGGGTTGCAAAAGTACGGAGATTAAACAAGCAGCAGCAGAACGGTTTTAATGGAGAGGGGCTTAACTTACAAAGACTATGAGATAAGCACGTTGGCTCCTATCAAGAAAAGTCAATAGTTTGTTCATTGTGTCTGCTGTGGGTTTGTGAAACAGTACAAACAAGGAACCAGTCTGTTTTACACTGAGCAATGAGCAATCAGACAGAGTCAGCAAAAGGAAGAAGAACAAGCCAAGTGGAGATCTGATTGAGGCTTACAAAATCATGAATGTGCTAAATGAGGAGAAGTTGTTCCAGTTGAACAACAGGAACAAGAAAGAGAGGACATATATTTGAAAGGAAGTGTAGGGGAGGTAGGGTCAATTGAAGCATTCGGGACATTGGGTGAATATTTGGATAGAAGTAATGTGCAGGGCTATGGAGAAAAGGCAGGGGATTGGCACAAGTTAACGATGATCATTTGAAGAGCTAGTGCAGGCACAATGGGCTGAATGGCCTCCTTCTTATTTCATAACACGTCAGCAATTCTGACTTAGTGAGCAACCTAGCAGTGCATGGATAGTGATTGTAGTGTGACTTGGTTCAACGTGTTTGAAAGTGAGAAATGTGAAGGGTTGACCGATAAAATTCCAGCCTGACTAGTGAGGCCCAAATCCTCCGAATGGGTTAAAATAAAAGGTGAGCTGGCCCAGAAATTTGCACTGACATTCTCTGTGCCACATCCCCATTTCTATTCCTCCACGAGTAAATGCCAACTGCCCCAGTTAAAGCCTATCCATCTAATTAGAACTATTACCTAATTAAAATCAATGGCCCTGATTAAAGCCTATTGCAATGATTAAAGTCAATTAATGCAAGTAGCCCCATTATGTGTGTGTTATACCCAGTTACAGTATGTCATATTTTATATGTGTGTGTTATACTCAATTGCAGTGTGTTTTACTCTCTGCTCAGCCAATGTCCACTTCACCCTAGGCATCTCCTGACCAATAAGATGGTGAGCTTTGGTGGTACATCTGCTTCAATAGGAGCTTAGAGCTTACAGTCTCAGAAGCCATTAGCAGGCTTGAATAGAACAATGGGAGGATCCTGTAACATTTCTGTCACTAGCCCAGTCTTTAGACACAGGGCTGTCATTTGCCTGACCCTGTGACCCTACACTTGAGCTGCTCTGGTGTGTTGTACATCATGGAGATGGCACAGTACTAGCCGAGAAGGAGCTGCCAGCACTTATCAGGTTGATAGCACAGTGTCACTCACTCCTTTCTCTCACTCTCTGTGTCAGAGGGTGCTCACTGAGAAATGGGCACAACTAGGGCTCATTTTCACTTTGTAGGATGCGGTAAAATCGGTGAGTTTGTATTACATTGCCCCTCAATTACTGTTAACTTCAACTCCGGAGAATGGTAAAGCCATGGTCTCACTGAATGGTGGAACAGATTCGATGGGCTGAATGGCCTCCCTCTGCTCCTATTGCTTATTGTCCTTAAGGGTCTAGGCCCGAAACGTCAGCCTTGCTGCTCCTATGATGCTGCTTGGCCTGCTGTGTTCATCCAGCTCTACACCTTGTTATCTCTTATGGTAATATTGGTTTTGTGGCCACCTCTCAATTTATTTGTAAGCCTGTGACCCAGCCCTGGTCATGAATCCTTTTCATGGCACATTATCACTGGGAGATTGTAAGGTCTAATATATCACTCCCTCTATAATGCACTTCCCTCCACTATCCACTACGTCTTCAATATTCAACCACATTGGCTTGCCATGAGTTGTCCTTTAGAAATCGAGGCTGGCCAGTTTAGTTACAGTTTCAGTGCATCGTTCGACGTGTGAAGGGTAACACTTGCAGGTTAACAGTGAGAAACCGTCTTTCGCACGGATTCTGATGGTGCTAATCTAAAGACCAAACCACCGTACTCTCACACAAGGCATTAGAGAGACACAACTGTTGGTGAGTCTATCACTCCTCAGGCAAGGTTGAGGAAACATCCATCTCATGCTTAGAGTTGACACCGTGGCTCAGTGGTTAGTACTACTACCTCACAGTGCTGGGGACCTGGGTTCAATTCCAGCCTCAGGTGACTGTCTGTGTGGAGTTTGTACATTGTCTGCGTGGGTTTCCTCCCACAGTCCAAAGGTGTACAGGTTTGGTGGATTAGCCGTGGGGAGTGCACTGTTATAGAGTTGGGGTGCACTTTGGAGGGGCAGTGTGGGCTGAATAGCCTGTTTCCATACAGCAGGGATTCTATGATAATCAAATTAGATGCAATCTGAAATTCACTGGTCTCTGTTTTAATTTCAGGACTTCCACGCTTGATTGCTCAGGTTTTACAAATATCTTTACACGTACAAACAAGGAACAAGAGTAGGCCCCTCGGCCCTTTGAGCCTGCTCCTCCTTCAATAAGATCATGGCTGATCTGATTTTAACCTCAACTCTACATTCCTGCTTATCCCCGATAATCTTTCATCCCCTCGGTAATCAATAATCTATCCACCTTTGCCTTAAAAATATTTAAAGGTACTGCATTCACTGCCTTTTGAGGAAGGAAATTCCAAAGGCTCACAATCCACTGAGAAAAGAATTGTTTCCTCATCCCTGTCGAAAATTGCCAACCCTTCATTTTAAAACTATGACCCCAACTCTAGATTCTCCCATAAGGGGAAATATCCTTTTCTACATGTATCTGGTCAAATTGATCTAGCACTGTTTATGTTTCAATTAAGCCACCTCCGGCCTTTCCAAACTCCAAAGGATACAAAACCTAACCTTTCCTCACAAGACAAGACACCCATTCTAGGTATTAGTCCAGTAAAACAAAAACAAAGTTGCTGGAAAAGCTCAGCAGGTCTGGCAACACCTGTGAAGAAAAAATCAGAGTTAACATAGAACATAGAAAAGCCTGGTTCGGCCACACCTGGAGTATCGTGTCCAGTTCTGGTCGCCTCATTACAGGAAAGATGTGGAAGCGTTGGAAAAGGTGCAGAGGAGATTTACCAGGATGTTGCCAAGAATGGAGGGAAGGTCTTACAAGGAAAGGTTGAGAGAGCTAAGGCTTTTCTCTTTAGAACGACGAAGGATGAGAGGTAACTTGATAGAGGTGTACAAAATGATCAGAGGTATAGATAGAGTGGACAGCCAGAGACTTTTTCCTAGGGTGGAGGTAGCTTTTACGAGGGGACATAGTTTTAAAGTGAGTGGAGGTAGATATAGGGGAGACGTCAGCAGTAGGTTCTTTACTCAGAGAGTGGTAGGGGTGTGGAATGCATTGCCGGAGAGGGTAGTGGAGTCGGCCTCATTAGAGGCATTTAAGCGGCTATTAGATAGGCATATGGATGATAGTATAAGGTAGGGGTGGAGGTTAGATAGACCTTAGGTTTAGGGTAAAAGTTCAGCACAACATCGTGGGCCAAAGGGCCTGTACTGTGCTGTACTGTTCTATGTTCTATGTTCTAACATAGAACACAGAACAGTACAGCACAGTGCAGGCCCTTCGGCCCATGATGTTGTGCCGACCTATTATCCTACTCTAAGATCAATCTACCCTGCATACCCTACATTTTACTATCATCCATGTACCTATCCAAGAGTCGCTTAAAAGTCTCTGAAGTTTCTGACTCCACTACCACTGCCGACAGCGCATTCCACATGCCCACCACTCGTTTCGGGTCCGGTGACCCTTCCTCGGAACTCCGTTCCTTAAATCTAATGAGTTTCGGAAACTTAAAATCAACTATCTAACTCATTACTCTTAGGACACGAGGATGACATCCATCAGGACTTGGGGTACTTCAGTTCCAACACTTTACTTAGGGTGTTCACAGAGAGTATAACGCCACGTTTTGAGGGCATATTATTGTTTATTCCATCTTCTTTCACAGAAAATTCCACAAACCTCTTTGCTCTGACAAAATGGACAAGGTGGATGACCTGTCGGCCTTTGGTGAAGCTGCTCCTTACCTCAGGAAACGCCCAGAACAGCTGAAGGCAATGCAGAATGTTCCGTTTGACTGTAAGTTCTTTGTTCAGTTATAGTGCTTGCTCATCATTGTCAGTAATCACCTTTCCTTAACGTTGTCTGGATTAGACCAACATTTATACAACAGCCTCAAAATGTCCTAAAATGTCTGACAACCAAATAAATGTTTTCAAATTTTAGTCAAACATCAACATCCTGGGGGTTACCATTGACCAGAAACTCAACCAGACTCACCACATAAACTCATTGGCTACAAGGACAGGCCAGAGATTAGGAATACTGTGGCCATTCTGCACACAAGATCTGACATACAGCTGTCTTAGCTTTGAGACAAATAAGGTGGATTTTTAGTGATTTGATCATGTGATAGAATATGGCTCAGGATACATCACTGTTCCTCCTTCAGTCAGAACTGGAGATCTCTTCTCTATCCTTCTGAGGGCAGCTGGGGTGTTGGTTGAGTTTCTAATTTGGGAAACATTGGGACTGCCAGCTTAGATTACAAACTCCAACATGGGGCGTGGGGCTGGATGCCAGAGCCTCCTCTCTCTCAGAGGCTACACGCTGGGCCGCAGCTGACCTTTGAACCCTGCCCTATGATACAGCTGAAGTTAAACTCAGAGAGACATCTTTCCGTTTCCCAATTTTGCATCATATCCTGAGGGGGTCTGTGATTCGACCCTGCACTGGATTGACTGACGCCATCCAACTCATTGTCTCTATCACACAGTCATGGATGTACCATTACTCTGGGAGTCAAGCAAGATACTTTGTGCTGTTATATTTTGTAAACATTTCATTGTTTAAAAGGTAAAAAGAAAGTCTGGGTCCCTGACAAGAAGGAAGTTTATATTGAAGCGGAAATTAAGGAACGGAATAGTGGGAAAATTGTTGTGGAAACAGTCGCTGGACAAGTGAGTGATAATCCTGTGTGTTTTAATCAATTGTATTTTTAAAATTTGTTTTATTCCTTTTTAAGTGTAACAGAGCAAGGCATTATTCCATATGTTCCTTGCTCTTACATTTTGATAATTTGACCACTACCTTCTCAATAATTGCCAACTTTCGTAACTCTCGAATCCCATGAACAATAGAAGAACATGTATCTGTACCTTCCCTATCAGTAAATCTAGACCACACATCTCTCCTGTTCTCCATTAACTGCTGGCCTAGCAACATCATATATTTAATATTATAATGTAAACAAAAATTAAAATAACTGGTCCCTGGGATTGATGTACGAAGGGAGATTGGATCGGATATTGACTGGGGTTCAGGAGAATGAGGAGGGATCTCATAGAAACCTATAAAAGTCTAACAGGATTAGACAGGGCAACCATGAGAAGGATGTTCCTGATGACCAGGGAGTCCAGAACCAGGGGTCACAGTTTAAGGATAGCGGATAGGTCACTTAGGACTCAAATGAGGAAAAATATCTTCACCCAGAAAGTGGGGAGCCTATGGAATTCCCTGCCACAGAAAGCCATTGAGGTCAAAAAATTGAATGCTTTTAAGAAGGAATTAATTCTTAGAGTAAAGAGATCAAAGGGTATGGGAGAAACTGGAGCAGGATAATCAGCCATGACCGTATTGTCTCAAGGGGCCAAATGGCCTACTCCTGCTGCTGTTTTCGATGTGTCTATAACACTTGCTGTCAAATCTCTCCAGTTCCTTCCCACCTCCCTCCACCACTCGAGCAGTCTAACATCTCCGTGTTCTTCCCAGCTGGGATTTACATATCTCTGAGCAGCTTCACTCCACCATTGTTCAGTGTTCCTTCATCTTCCCTGTCCCTAAGCTCTGTAATTGACTCTCCAAAGCTCTCCTCCTCTCTCTCAAACAAGTGAAGCTTCTGGGTTTTGATGCTTGGTGTCTGTGCAATGAGCTGGTGAATGGGCCAGCCCAGGCCCTAACTCGTGGTCAAACGCCCGCAATTGTGCTTGTTGCCGATTGGGCCCTGCTGCCGATTGGGATTGAACCAGGTTTGTGACACTGACCTGAATTAGTTGACAAACCTAGCTCAATCCCACAATGCAGCAGGAGCCAATCAGCCAAAATAAAAGCTCAATTATGAGAGTTTGGCCAATCTGCTAGAGTTCACACAGGGAAGTGACCACTTGTTCGAAGAAGAAAGGGAGGGAATGTGGTAAATGAATCTGCACAAATCCTTTGACACAGCAATGATTGCCTTGTGCCTGGATGGTCAACTCACATTCAGGCTGTATAGGCCTTTCCTGGTGTAGCCAGAATGTCTCTACCTCTGAGATTAGGAAACATGGGTTCAAACACAACAAAAGCAGAAATTGCTGGAAAATCTTAGCACACCTGGCAGCAGCTGTGGAGAGAAATCAGAGTTAACGTTTCAGGAAGCATTAGCCTGCATTCAAATCCCACTAACTCTGGAGGTGCATTTCTGAACAGGTTGATTAGAAAGTATTGACACTGAGGAACTCCTGCAGAAATGAGCTGGGACTACAATGGTTGATTTTCACTGTTTACCCTCTGAGCTTACACTCAAACACAAACTGCTTAATAAAGGTACAAGCACAAGATGCTGCCAAGTGCAAACTCCAATGTGTCTTGTCTCAAAACATCTTTCTTAGAAATTGACTCTGAAGGAAGGGGATGCTCAGGAGATGAACCCACCTAAATTCAGACTGATTGAAGATATGGCTATGCTAACTCATCTGAACGAGGCGTCTGTGCTGCACAACCTCAGGCAGAGATATGCAAACTGGCTAATCTATGTGAGTACTGGGAGAAAGGAACATTCTGGAATAAACGTTACATCTCTGTGATGTTCAGTAACTCTCTTACAGGCATGTTCAACACTGACAGTGGAGCAGTCATCAAAAGATTGAATGGACATGAAGAAGGAGTAATGTCCTAAACACCATAAGACATAGCTGCAGAATGAGGCCATTCAGCCCATCGAGTCTGTTCCACCATTCGATCATGGCTGATATGTTTCTCAACCCCATTCTCCTGCCTGCTCCCCGTAACCCTTGATCCCCTTACCAAGCAAGAACCTGACTATCTCTGTCTTAAAGGAACTCAATGATTTGGCTTCCACAGCCCTCTGCAAACATGAGTTCCACAGATTCACCACCCACTAGCTGAAGAAATTCTCTTCATCTCAGTTCTAGTGGGTAGTCCCTTCACTCTGTGCCCTCACATCCTAGTCTTGCCTAGTAATCATAAAGTCGTAGAGATGTACAGCACGGAAACGGACTCTTCAGTCCAATCCGTCCATGCTGACCAGATATCCTAAATAAATCTAGTCCCATGTGCCAGCATTTGGCCCATATCCCTCTAAACCCTTCCTATTCATATACCCACCCAGATACCTTTTAAATGTTGTAATTGTACCAGCCTCCACCACTTCCTCTGGCAGCTCATTCCATATATGCACCGCCCTCTGTGTGAAAAAGTTGCCCCTTAGGTCCATTTTAAATCTTCCCCTCTCACCTCAAACCTATGCCCTCTAGTTTTGGACTTCCCTATCCTAGGGAAAGGACCTTGAATATTTACCCTATCCTTGCCCTCTCAGGATTTTATAAACCTCTGTAAGGTCAACTCTCAGCCTCTGATGCTCCAGGGAAAATAGCCCCCGTCTATTCAGCCTCTCCCTATAGCTCAAACCCTCCAACCCTGGCAATATCCTTGTAAATCTTTTCTGAATGCTTTCAAGTTTCATTACATCTTACCTTCTCCGCGTGCACTCTATCCAGACCTCTGAGTATTCGGTAAGTATCAGTCAGATCTCCCCTCATCCTTCTAAACTCCATCGAGTACAGGCCCAGAGTCCTCAACTGCTCCTTATATGACAAGCCCTTCATCCCCAGCATCATTCTTGTAAACCTCCTCTGGACCCCCTCCAACACCAGCACATCCTTCCTTAGATATGGGGCCCAAAACTGCTCACAATATCCCAAATGTGCTCTGACCAGAACCTATACAGCCTCAGCAGTACATTCCTCCTCTTGTATTCTGACCCTCTTGAGATGAATGTTAGCATTGCAATTGCCTTCCTAACTGCCAACTGAACCTGCTTGTTAACCTTAAGAAAATCCTGAATCCCTTTGTGCTTCAGATTTCTGAAGCCTTTCTCCATTTAGAAAATAGTCTGTGCCTGTATTCTTCCAACCAAAGTGCCTAACCTCACACTTACCCACCTTGTATTCCATCTGCCACTTCTTTGCCTACTCTCCTAACCTGCCAAAGTCCCTCTGCAGTCTCCCCACCTCCTGAACACTATCTGTCCCTCCACTTATCTTTGGGTCATCGTAAACCTGCCTACAATGCCCACAGTTCCTTTGTCAGATCCTTAATGTATAACGTGAAAAGTTGTGGTCCCAACACTGCCCCCTGGGGAACTCCACTTGTCATCGGCTGCCATCCTGAGAAAGACCCCTTTATCCCAACTCTCCGCTTCCTGCTAGACAGATAATCCTCTATCCATACCAGTACCTTACCCCTAACAGCATGTGTTTCTGGCTTATTAGCTGTCTCCTGACCGGCACCTTTTCAAAGGCCTTCTGAAAATCCAAAGAGAACATGTCCACTGGCTCTCCTTTGTGCTTATTACCTCCTCGTAGAATTCTATTGGATTTGTCAGACATGACCTCTCCTTGATGAAGCCACGCTGACTCCACCCTATTTTACCACGTACTCCCAAATACTCTGCAATCTCATCCTTAATGATGGAATCTAAAATCTTACCAATGACCAAGGTCAGGCTAACCAGCCTATTGTTTGCTCTCTTCTGCCCCACTCCCTTCTTAAAAAGGGTGTGTTATATTAGCCATTTCCAGTCCTCTGGGACATTTCCTGACTCCAGTGATTGCTGAAAGATCACCACCAATGCCTCTACAATCCCCCCAGCTATTTCCTTCAGATCCCTGGGGTGTAGTCCATCTGATCTGGATGATTTATCCACCTTCAGACCTTTCAGCTTCTCCTTAGCGATGGCCACTACCCTCACGTCTATGCCCTGATTCATATGATTCATATGGTATGCTGCTGGTATCTTCCACCGTGGAACTGATACGAAGTTCCTATTCAGTTCCTCCACCATTTCTTTGTTCCCCATTACTCCTTCTCCAGCCTCATTTCTTAGCAGTCTGATGTCCAACTCTTGCCTCTCTCTTACCTTTTTATATATCTAAAAAACTCTTGCAATCTTATTTTCTATTACTAGAAAGCTTACTCTCATATTTCATCTTCTACCCCCTTTATTGATTTTTTTAGTTATCCTCCGCCGGTATTTAAAGGCTTCCCAATCCTCTGGCTTCCCACTAACCCTCACCACATTTTATGCTTTTTCTTTTGTTCTTATGCTGTCCCTGACTTCCCTTGTCAGCTACAATTGCATCATTCTCCCTTTAGTGTGTTTCTCCTTCCTTGGGCTAAATTTCCCAAATTACCCTCTGAAACCCCTACTATTGCTGCACCGCTGTCTTCCCTGCTCGGCTTCCCTTCCAATCAACTCTGGCCAGCTCCTCCCTCATATCTTTGCAGTTACCTTTACTCAATTGTAAGACCGATACATCTGATTCCAACTTCTCCCCCTCAAACCGTTAAGTGGAATTCTATCATATTATGGTCACTACCCCCTAGGTCTTCCTTCACCTTCAGCTCCCTAATCAAGTCTGCATCATTTACACATCACCAAGTCCAGAGTGATCTGATTCCTAGTGGGCTCTACCACAATCTGCTCCAAAAAATCCATCTTGTAGACATTCCACAAATTCCTTTTCTTGAGATCCATTACCAACCTTACTTTCCTGAAGATTGTAGGTGGAGAAATGTCTGGTTAATGTTGGAAATGGGTGTGTTGCTTTGCATCTGCCTTTACTGGCAGCTTCCTGAAGTCGTAACGTGATGGATTAAAAATTCAGCAAAGAATCACTTTCAAGGCCGTGAATCGAAACACAACAGTTCATAATCATGGGCACTTATGTTCTGTTGGGGAATGGACGGCATGGGGAATTAGCTGAAAAGGCTGGGTCTGCCCTATCAGTCAGTGACTGTAAATTAACAGGAGCCATCTATTCCTTTACAGACTTACTCGGGGTTGTTCTGTGTCTCAGTGAACCCTTACAAATGGCTGCCTGTGTACACACCAGCCGTGGTTATAGCCTACAAACGGAAACGCAAAGGCGATGCTCCCCCGCATATATACTGCATGGCAGACAATGCCTACTTCGATATGTTGAGCAGTAAGTACTGAGAGACACACTTAATGCTTACATTCAAATCTCTGCCCTATAGAATAAGCTCGTGCTGTCGCTCTACATGCATAATCGGTCAGTGCATGGACTAACCCCATCCACAATGCTGTCCCTCACAACTGATCATTATCCCCTTCCTGTCCCACTTACTTCCACCTGGAATAAACACGTCACAAGGCTGTCCTCACCAGTCACACCATTAAAGACCATCACCCATACCCGAAACGTTGACTGTTCCTTCCCTTCAGATGCTGCCTGGCTTGCTGTGTTCTTCCAGCCTCTTGTTTGTCTCTCTTGGGACCAATGTTTGCCTCCCGATCTTTATATCTCTCTGTTTAAATAAGTGAAAGGGTTTGTCATTTTATTTACTCATTCTCTCATGGCATCACTGACTGGGCAGGCATTGATCGCCCATTCCCTAACTGCCCTTGAGAAGGTGATCAAACGTCAATCTTCCGTTTATCAATGGACAACAAAATCTGCTTTATGAGCCCCTTCCTGTTCTTGACATTGCTCCCATCCCCACCAGGAATCTTGCAAGCAACAGTTTCCAATGTGGACGAGCAGTCAGGGAAGTGTAATAGTGAAACCCAGCCGGGGTTTGACACTAAAACGAGGTAATGGACCCTCGTCGCTTCCCCACCAAAAATTGCTGAGTTTCTCCAAGCACTTTCTGAAGAAGATTTTCTGAAGAAGGGTCTAGGCCTGAAACGTCAGCCTTCCTGCTCCTCTGATGCTGCTTGGCCTGCTGTGTTCATCCAGCTCTACACCTTGTTGTCTCAGTTTCCAATGTGGATTGTTCATTATTAACGTTGTAATGTTCCCCGTTGGATTTACTAGCTTTGTGTAGACTTGGCCATCTTTTAAATTGACGAGCAAATGGACAAGGAGCAAGAATAGCCATTCGGCCATTTGAGACTGCTGCAGTGTTCATGGCTCATCTGATTTCAACGCTACATTCCTGCAATCTTCCAATCCCTTGGCAATCAAGAATCTATCTACCTCTGCCTTAAAACCAGTGACAGATTCTGCACCCACTAGCTTTTATCCACAAGTGGCAGTAGTCCCCCATAGTTTTAGTGACATATTTTCAATGCAAAGTACAGTTGGGTGAGTCAGGTAGGGGTGTATCTGATAAACTATTCCCATGTGGAGAAGATTGAATGGTTAGCTCAGTTGTCTGTGATGTGGGATGATGCCAACAGCGAGGGTTCAGTTCCCATGCCGGCTGAGGTGACCCTTAAGATCCCAACTTCCCAACCTCACCCCTAGCCTGGTTTACTACTCATTAAGTAAAACCAAGCTGATTGCTAATTGAAAAGTGGAAACAATGACGTTAGACCACTCGCAAATAATTATGCACCGTTCTGGTCTCCCTATTATTAAAAAAAAATAGACAGAGACACTTGAGAAGACATGAAAAAATCAGAGCGGGGGATAGGTGATAATCTGTTGAGCCTGCTCCATCATTGAATAGGACTATGAACCCTGCTTTCCCACCTGTTCCCCTACCCCTTGATTTCCTGACAGACCAGGAATACCTCTATCCCAGACTTAACTGCATCCATTGATGGATCAGTTACAATTCAAAGATTCACAACCATCTGACTGAAGTAATTTCTCCTCAACTCAGTCCGAAATGATTGACATGTTATACTGAAACTGTGCCCCTGGGTTTTCGAAGCTGCCAAATGGAGAAGTTTATTCTGATCAGGACTGTCTGGGGCTGTATAACTGAAGACTGAGGGGAGGCCTGGTGGTGTTCTGTGAGGCGATGAAAGTGTTCCCTCAATCAGGAATTGGGATTTTCCTCCGATCAGGAATGAGAATCTCTCCGTTCCTGGTTCTACTGAAGTCTGGGGTCATCTGGGTGAAACTGTTCCCAGTTTTTGTCAGAGATATCGGAAGTGGTATTTACCCAGATTGATGGACCGGAGAATTCCAGGTAAAGCCAAGGGTTAAAGGGTGAAACAGAAAGGCTGGAGATGGTGGGACATCGCACAGTGCAAAGCTGGGACTGTTCTAATTAAAACAGGACCCTGCAATGGGGCAGTCTGCAAGGGAACTGCATTTGTCTCCCAGGGCAGGTAGTCTTGGAGAGCAGTGGGGTGGGGTGAAGGAGGGGGTCCCACACCCAATGTAGGAAGCTCCCACCACCCCCTCAAAATATAATCCTCACCGCACCATCTAGTCCTGACCTGCCCCTCTTCCAGGTCGCCCTGAGCAACCCATATGGATGATAGTATAAGGTAGGGGTGGAGGTTAGATAGACCTTAGGTTTAGGGTAAAAGTTCGGCACAACATTGTGGGCCGAAGGGCCTGCACTGTGCTGTACTATTCTATGTTCTATGTTCTAATCCCTGAACAAGCTATAACCCTATTGCATCTCACCTCCCCCCCCCACCTCCCCAGTGATAAGAACCATCCCTCAGGAAATTGGGATGTCAGGGTGTTAATGTTGGTCAATGTAACAGCACTGCCGCACTCCCGCTCCTGCCATCGAGAACTTTGGTGCCTTTTGGTCTCGTCATCCCGATTGGAGCCCCCTAATTCTGAATCAATGTTATTTTTGATTACAGATCGTGAGAACCAGTCCATGCTGATCACGTAAGTAATCCTGAGAAATCTGCTTCATTCCTTTCCATTGATCCCACAGCAGGAGGAGTCTCCAGTTTGGAATAGTGCCCAGGAATTCAGTGAGGAGCCTGAATCAGAACCAATGCTTTCTTGTAAATTCACCCTGTTTCTTGTGATGTATTAACCAATGCATGTCATTTAATCTATGACTGGTAACCAGGACTAAAGGTTATATTTTAAGGGATCTTAAGATAGTGCTTTTCTGTAAAGTGAGTCCAAACCCACTGTTGAACTAGAAATATACAGCTAATGGCAGGACCCTGAATATTGATGTACAGAGGGATCTTGGGGTTCAAGTCCATAGCTCCCTGAATGTAGTACTACTTTCCAGTAGCAGTAGTAGTGACAGTAGTAGATAGGGTGATAAAGAAGTTGTATGGCATGCTTGCCTTTATTGGTTGGGGAATTGAATACAAGTGTCAGGATGTCATGTTGCAGCTTTATAAGACTTTAGTTAGGCCACACTTAGAGTATTGCGTTCAATTCTGGTCGCCACATTACAGGAAGGATGTGAAGGCTTTGGAGAGGTTTCAGAAGAGGTTTACTAGGATGCTGCCTGGATTAGAGGGTATAAGCTATAAGGAGAGGCTAGAAAAACTCAGGTTGTTTTCTCCGGAGCGACAGAGGCTGAGGGGAGACTTGGTAGAAGTTTTTCAAATTATGAGATGCATGGAAAGGGTTGACAGTTAGAATCTTTTTCCCAGAGTTGAAATGTCTAATACTAGGGGGACATGTATTTAAGGTGAGTGGGGAAAGTTCAAAGGAGATGTGAGGGGTATGTTCTTTACACAAAGAGTGGTAGGAGTCTGGAACACGCTCCCAGGGGCGGTGTTGGAGGCAGATACGAAAGGAACAAAAACAAAGTTGCTGGAAAAGCTCAGCAGGTCTGGCAGCATCTGTGGAGGAGAAAACAGAGTTAACGTTTCGGGTCCGGTGACCCTTCCTCAGATACGAAAGGGTTGTTTAAGGGACTTTATCTTAGATAAGGACATGAATATGAAAGGAATGGGGGGTGGTGGATACAGGCCAAGGGCAAGCAGAAGGGATTAGTTTACTTTCGCGTCATGTTCGGCATAACATTGTGGGCCGAAGGGCCTGTTCCTGTGCTATAGTGTTCGATGTTCTAAATATAGGAATGTGTATGACATCACAGAATAGAATCCCTGCAGTGTGGAAGCAGGCTATTCAGCCCATCGAGTCTGCACCAACCCTCTGAAAAGCATCACATCCAGACACACCCTTTACCTTATTCCTATAACACTGCATTTCCCATGGCAAATCCACCTAAAGTACACATCTCTCAACACGAGATGGGCAACTTAGTCTGGCCAATCCACCCTAACCTGCACATCTTTGGACCATGGGAGGAAACCAGAGAACCCAGAGGAAACCCACGCAGACACAGGGAGAATGTGCAAACTCCACACAGACAGTCGTCTGAGGGTGGAATCGAACCCAGGTCCCTGGAGCTGTGAGGCAGCAGTGCTAACCACTGAGCCACTGTAATGCCCAACCTGAGCTATGTACAAGGGTTCTCTCTGGGGAATAGTTTCAGTGGAGAAGAGAAGTGTGAGGTGATACAGATGGTACAAAAAAAGACAGTATAGAAGAAACTATTCTAAAAAATGTGTAGGAGCTGAGAAACCAGATGTGTGTGTGTGCATTGGATGTAGTAGGACAGATTGAGAGAGCTGTAAATAAAGTCTACTGTATTTTAGGCTTCATTAATAGATGTACAGGGTATATACAGTTATTGGTGCCACACTATGAGAAGGATGTGAAGGCAGTGGAAAGAAAGCAGGAGAATTTTACCAGATTGGTTCCAGGGATGAGAGACTTCAGTGATGAGGATAGATTGGAAACATTGGGAGTGTTCTCCCTGGAAGGGGAAGGCTGAGAGGAGATCTAATAGAGGCCTTCAAAGTAATCAGAGGTCTGAGCAGAATGGGTAGCAAGAAACTATTCTCATACATAATAGAATCAGGAACCAGAGGACACAGATTTAATGTATTTTGCAAAAGAAGATGCTGCCTAGAAATGTGGTCAATTGAGGAATTCACGATAGCAACGGACTCTGTGTGGAGGACGGACTCTGTGTGGGGAATGGACTCTGTGTGGGGGAATGGACTCTGTGTGGGGGATGGACTCTGTGTGGGGAATGGACTCTGTGTGGGGAATGGACTCTGTGTGGGGGATGGACTCTGTGTGGGGGATGGACTCTGTGTGGGGGATCGACTGTGTGTGGG